GATGAAGGAATTGATACCATTGAATGGCCCCCACATTCCCCTGACTTAAATCCAATAGAACACCTCTGGGATATCATGTTTCGGTCCATCCAACGCTGCCAGGTTGCACCTCAGACTGTCCAGCTCAGTGATGCCTGGTCCAGATCTGAGAGGAAATATCCCAGGACACCATCCGTCATCTCATTAGGAGCATGCCCCCGATGTTGTTAGGCATACATACAAGCACGTGGGGGGCCATACAAACTACTGAGCACCATTTTGAGTTGCTGCAATGAAATTTCACCAAAATGGAATAGCCTGCTGCATCATTTTTTCACTTTGATTTTCGTGGTGCCTTTGAATTCAGTCCTCTGTAGGTTGTACATTTTCATTTCCAATCAAACGATGGAGCATCCTTACGTTCTTAACACATTACCCAGTGCACATCAATATAGATATCCAGCATGATATTTTTCCCCATTGAGATCTGATCTGTTTTCAAAGTGTTCCTTTTTCCTCCTGATTTTTTTGAGCAGTGTATTTTCTTTCAAACCGAGTCAAATTACAGTACAAGCATACACATTCATGTGAAAACTCATACACATAAATATATATATATTTATTTAATTTAAAAAAAAAATTACAAAAAAACTAAATTATATATTTCTTTTAATATAAGCTGAAAGATTTCTGGCAGCTTATGGGTTAAAGCGGATTTCCAGACGGTTTTGTATTTATTAAAAGTCAGCAGCTACAAAAACTGTAGCTGCTGACTTTTAATAAACATTTACCTTTCCCAGAGTCCAGTGATGTTCTCACCCATGCCTTCCTTTCTCCCCTTCTCTCCTCCATGGTGCCGGCATCTCGGCTGTGGACACCAGGCTGTGACAGCTTTCGGCTTGACAGCCTGGTGCCCACTGAGCATGCACAAGTTGCGCTGTGCCTCCTAATTGGTCCGGCAGTCTCCTGTGACCTGTGAAAGTTCCCAGGAGACTGCGGGAGGGCAGAGGGGGCAAAATTCCAGCTTACTTCACTGCAGCGAACTGACGCAAGTGGGAGCACGTACCTGTCAAAACCAGGTACTCGTTCCCCCCTCCCCCCCAGAAGGTGCCAGTGGAGGGGCGGAGGAGACAAATAAATGGAGCTTCCTCTTTTGAGTGCAACTCCACTTAGTATATCCAGTGATGTATTCTCCAGTGTGTGTGAGTATCTCCTTATTATAGACCAGGGTTGTCAAACTGGCGGCCCACCAGCTGTTGCGAAACTACAAGTCCCATTATGCCTTTGGGAGTCATGCTTGTAATTGTCAAACTTGCAATGCCTTATGGGACTTGTAGTTTGGAAACAGCTGGCGGGCTGCCAGTTTGACACCCGTGTTGTAGACCAGGGCTTGAAAAAGCCGCTCGCCAAATGCGAGGAGAAATTCTCTAGCGGCGAGCACAGATGATGGAGCGGCTGCGCTCCAAGCCTCATTGTGAAGCCGAGTTCCAGTTTCCGGCTTTTTCGGCACCGCCGCTGAGGGGACAGCTGCAGGAGAGGTTCGCTCTCCTCTGCTGAGAGGAGACACCCTCTCCACCGCCGCGGTGGACTCAAGGAGTAAGTACTGTATACATGTCATATCACTATAATGGAGTACAAGGGAGCTGGGATATACATTAATGTATACATGTCATATTACTATAATGGCGTACAGGGGAGCTGGGATATACATACTGTATACATGTCATATCACTATAATGGAGTATATGTATACAGTAATGTATATCCCAGCTTCCCTGTACTCCATTATAGTGATATGACATGTATACAGTAATGTATATCCCAGCTTCCCTGTACTCCATTATAGTGATATGACATGTATACAGTAATCATTACTGTATACATGTCATATCACTATAATGGAGTACAGGGGAGCGGGGATATACATTACTGTATACAGTTTTATATTTTGGACTCTTTATTCTAAAGAAAAATGTAATTTCATAAGCTTTAAGGGGGCATGGTTGAAGGTGGACCTGGGCAAGGTTGGGTGGGGCAACTGGTGGAGAGTAAGGTTTGTGCCTGGCTAGTAGCTCTGTTATTTGTTTACAATCTAGTAACCAGTTGCCGACATCCCTTCTCCCTCCAACGGCCTTTGGGGGAGGGTGAGGGAGGGAACTTTTTAGAAAGTTGCTTCAGAAAGGTGGGCACCTGCTAATTTAATTCTTTTGAAGCTGGTTAGCTAATATATGTGTAGAGCAGACAGCTGTGACAGCCAGCTTGCTCTTGTGTGCAGGGAGTGAGAGAGCATAAGGGGCTGTGAGAGTTCCTGAGCAGGTTCTTGTGGAACAGTGCATGTTCTTTTTGAACACTTTCAGCAGCAGATTTCTAGTCCATAAGTATCTGATTTGTAGTCCAGCTGTCCTTCCTGAACTCTGCTAACTGAAAATCCGTATTTCATGTACGGGCATCAGCTTGAAGCAGAATCTGCAAAGCCTCAGCTTTGCACTCATAGTACACTAACAATGATTGCAATGCTTTCCAGATTAAAATGGTTTAATTTCAGCAATGCATATTTTTTTACCATTAGGTGCATTTATGAAATTTAATAAAAAGGTGAACTTATCCTTTAAGCATCTTCTGATGGGCGTGCAGAATTTGCAGTTATGGAGATTTATCATGTGTAATAATGAGCTTCTGATTTTGGTTGAACATGAGTTAGACTTGAACCCAGCCTGTTAGCAGATCAGCAAACAAGCCAACAAACTGACCATATTTGGCCAGTTCATTCACACAAATCTTTGGATGATGGTTATTTATTTATTTTTTAAGTAAATAACTTTTTCAACTGTTTATGTTTTTTTATATACGATTTACATTTTTTGTGAATGAGTACTAAAGGGGTACTATGTACTTCCAGGTTTTGATAAGTCTCCCTACAGCCCCCCACATCCCTTTTGGGGGACAGGATGTGAGATAAGGCCCTTGTCCCCATCAACATGGAAACAAGTTGCTTTGCAAGGGAGGAAGCATAGCCACCCACTGTTGCAAAGTACCCTTCCAAGTTGAGGGAATGTTGTCTGGTATGGTTGAGAAGGGGACGCGACTGTGCTTCCTTACCTGGCAAGTCAGGTAGGTATTTTATTATTTTTTAGGAAGACCCCACCAGTTTTTTCTTTTAATATACAGGGTGGCCAATGATGTTACCCAGGATTTACAGCCCATTTGTTTACAAACAAGCTGGTAGGGGACCTGTCCACTGCTTGTTAAAAAAAAAAGTAACTTTTAGGAATACATCATACTGCTTTGGAACTTCACATGCAGTTTTAAGGCATTCCCAAAACATATTATTTAAAGGATTTTGTATTTTTAATATTACCCTTTCCCTTCTTATTAGAATTTTTTGCCCATAACTTTAAGAAAATCTTGTAAATTGGTGGTAAAAAAAAGCCAAAAAAATGCAATGTTTGGCTCCCATACACTGCAATGGGGTTCATTTTATTTTCAGGCTTAGCTGATTTTTATTCCTAGGTTAGTTGAAACTCCCACAAACCTAACTTTGCCCAGTTCACTCATTCCTAGTCATAATTAATAGAAGGTCTGCAGTGCATTGCTAGCTCACAAGGTACTAGTGTAGAAATGGGGCAAAAAAAAGAGGTGTTATAGCTGATTTGATTCATTTGAAATTCATTTTAATAAAACTTTTAATAATATTAAGCAGTGGCAGATTTAGGTCAGCTTTATTGGCTTAATAAATTGATAACCTAGAGGAAGATACTAGCATCCACTAACAAATGAGGGTGAGGCAGTGAGCGTGACATTGTCATGCTCTTACAAGCATGTAAGTTAGTGTAGGGATAGGCAGTATGGAATTAGGCACCTAAATATGCTGTTACTGGGTGCCGAAGCTTCTACCAATTCTTGCAATAAGCATCAAACGCTGGAAGCCTACCACCATGAGCAATATACAGATGTCTCTGAATCGCATAAACTTTTATAATATTGCCAAAAAATTGTAATGATATCATGCTGCAAACGTTTATGATGTTTCTCTCATTGGTGCCTACAATTGACAGGTGCTCTTCTGAAAAGTAGTATGGAAGTCATGCCGCAACAGCTCCTTTATTCCGGTACTAGCCAAGTGCCCACTAAATTCAATGCAACATGACATTATGACTGAATAAAGAATAAGTTTTTGACTCACATTATACAAACACCAAAGGACATTAAAAAAAAGGTATTCTGACATTCATCAACCATTCACTGCAGGTGAATCTTATTGGTGCATATGTTTTAGATGACAGTGATTGATTCACTACCAGTAAATGTTTGGTGACAGTCACATTCACGCTTTTATAAATACACCTGTGTACAGTGGGCCAATTCATTACATTTGCCCCACATACATTTTGATTAGAATACTTGGGGTCAAAGTAAAATAAAAAATACAATCTTTATGAACAATGATGAATAATAATTTATTTTGCTTCCATCTGCACAGTTATATCTAGCTACGTGACTGAGGCCAGCACAAATAGTGACAAGGTTGCCACTGACATTTGACTTGGACAAATACAGTTGTAAATTACATATTTCATGTATACATTCTCAATCAAAAACATTTCTGAAGCATAAGATGAGATCTGGTACATTGCACTTTATCTGTATGTACTTCAAATATCATGTATATAAAACTGTTTATTTTGGCGTTTACTGTAAGTTATCATGAAAGTAGAAAAAAAATTAACTAGAGAAATAAATCAAAAATTTTTAACTACAAGAGATACATCATAGTAAAGAAATCAAATGGCTTTCTTTCAAGTTTAAATTTTTTACAAAAAAAAAAAAGTATTTTATTATATTCACAAATCATTCAATATTAATAAGCAAAGTAGTTATATATATATGAAAAAAATGTAAAATTGCCAAATAGATTTTACAAAATTGAAACTATAAACAGTCACAAAATATATAAAAATGCCACATTGAACGAGGCAATGGTACTCTATCTAAAAAGATAGCCTACTCTTTTACAGTCCTACTCAAACAGTAGTGACTGATAAAAAGGCATTGTGTACTCTGGAACCATCAGGGGACCTTTCACCATGTGTCATAAGTTCTTGGATTGTCATCCAGTTGTCTAAGATCTTTTTGTTTCTCTTTTTCATCATTTTTCTGTGACTCAGTTCAATTATACTGATTTCCTTTTTACTTTCACTGCCACTCTGCGGGCTCTCTTTAAGACACTCCAGTCTACTGCGCATCATGAATTCTCTACGCCTCCTCTGCTCCTTTGCCCTCATAAGGTGCTGTTTCCTTTCTTCTTTGCTCCAGTATCTTCCCATTTTCATCTCACTCATGGTATCATCATCTGTTGTCATGCCACTCCTCTCTTCTTTTATTTTTAAGGCACGCTCTTTCAAAAGTTTGTCTCTTACTGGCCTTTTAGTAATATATCTTGTCCCATCACTCCTTATTTTTACTTTCCATTCCATTCTTGGCTCTAATGACCTTGGAGAATCTCTGCACATTGTTACTAGATTTAGTTGGCTTTGTGCATATTCTACCGCAGTTTTCTGTTGAACAAGTTGCATGTAACTTTGATAATGTCTTGCATGGACTGGTATATTTCCATATCTATATGATGAGCTGTGATATGGTGAAAGGTATGGGATTTCATCTGGGATAGGTTTCCTATGATCTGAAAACGTACTGCATTCTAACACAGTATCTTGGTATTCTGCTGGAAGGTTCTGTCCACAGGTTAGAGATTTGGTTGGAGTATACTCAATACTGCTTAGTCCAGATGATAAATGGTTTGTTACAATGGTGCTACTGAGATTTTTCCGGTTTGTGTGATGCTAATTATTCTTTGTAAGGAGCTGTCGGGGGACCTGTCTACAGTCAGTGGTGTGCTTCTACAACTTTCTGCTGTGTTATATGCACTAGAACTGTCCTTATCAGATCGCTCTGTGTGCTCTCTGATATTACCCACTTTGTCTCTCCGTAAGTCTGTGCTAGTGTTGTAATTGCACATCTCATCACTGTGAATTTCCAAAATATCGCTAGGTTGATTCCTAACATTTTGGAGCCGGTGCGCCTGCATTATACTTTGGCACTCAAGTTCAATGCTTCTCAGCTCTTCATTTAAAAGCTGTAACTCATGTTCTACTCCACAAGGCTTGTTGTGCTACATTCAATTGTACTGCTGGAGTAGTACAGGTCATACTCTCCTCGGTTTCGGATTTGGCACTTTAGCTCTAACAATTGTCGAAACCGTTCACACTCCTCTTCTTGACTGATGGTAGGATCTGAATCTATGTATTCCCCAGAAACCATACTGTCATTAAACTGGAGTTCAATACTTCCTAATGTATCTTGACTTTGTCTTAGCTTTGGGTTTTTCTGAAGACAAGCGACTCTGTGATCTTTGATTATATTTTCCATTTCTGAGCTCTCATCATGGTGCTGACTTTCATCTGTGCGTCCTACACCACTGTCTTTTTCATGGTTATTGGACGACGAAGTTGCTGTGTCAGTTGTACCATCTTCCTCTTCTGGCTTTTTCTGCTGAGGAAAGAAAAATATTTCATTAACCAAGTTTAGAGTATTGCAACCTCAGCAATACTAACTAGAGCATGGAATTGTGCCTTAAAACAAATACAGAATTAACAATTTCACTATTAGTAAAAGTGCTTACAAAAGCCATTCTCATGATTTTCTTTTACTTTCTGTAAACAATGAAGAAAGACTGTTTGTGGATGAATGGCTCTATTGTAGATATAGAGAAAAATGTAGAAAGAGGTTACTTTAAATGAGGAACATTTTACAGTGCCAATATACAGTATATATTTGGGAGGCATGCAAAATTTGAAAAAAGGGCAATTGTTTGGAAACATGCCGTAAAGTGTCTTATGTTGAGAATCTGTTATATTAAGGTATCTGTATACATTTATTTACCTCATTCCACAATCTGGTATTTAACAAAAATAATACCAATATTTACAACATTTTGTATGTATAGGAATCCTAATTTCTTAGGTGCATGAATATAAATACAAAATTGTGGCTTACAGTTGTGTCTATAAAATTATTCAACCCCCACTGAAATTGAGTGTTTTGGAACCAGTGTTTAAAACATTGCTTTTGATCATTCAGTCATGGTTGCTTACTTTTACACTAAAGGGCACTTGTAGGTCAACCACAAATTTGTTAATAACATAACAGTTATAATGAAATATCCCCACAAATGTTTTTCTGTGCTCACAGCATTATCTGTTTTATTCAACCCCCCAAGTGAAAATTCAATCTTAAGTACTTCTGTACAGCATCCTTTTACAGTTATATAACAGCTTTTAAACGTGAAGCATAGCTTGACACAAGTGTCTTGCAGCGATCTACGGGTATCTTCGCCCATTCTTCATGGGCAAAGGCCTCCAGTTCAGTCACATTCTTAGGCTTGCGCACTGCAAAAACTGCTTTCTTTAAGTCCCACAGAGGTTCTCTATCGGATTTAAGTCTGGTGACTGCGATGGCCACTCCATTGTCAAAATGTTCCAGCCTTTCCTCTTGCAATCCATCGCTTTAGTTTCTAAGTGGAGGAGATTATGCTTGGGATCATTGTCCTGTTGAAAGGTTCCAACGTCTGGAAACCCAAGCCTCACTTAGGAGTCTTTGTGTGACGGACTGCATCACGTTTCCATCCAATATCTCCTGGTACTGAAGAGAATTCATGGTACCTTGCACACGCTGAAGCTTCCCTGTACCTGCAGAAGCAAAACAGCCCCAAAGTCCAATGATTGACCCTCCACCATGCTTCACAGTAGGCAAGGTGTTCTTTTCATCATTAGGCCTTGTTCTTCCTCCTCCAAAACATAGCGTTGATCCATGGGCCCAAACAGTTCTAATTTTGTTTCATCATCAGTCCACAGAACACTATCCCACAAATTTTTGTTGGTTTGTCCACACATGGCTTTTGGCATACTGCAGTCGACTCTTCTTATTCTTTGGAGACAGCAAGGGGGTACAGCCTGGGAGTTCTGGCACGGAGGCCTTCATTACGCAGTGTGCGTCTTATTGCTCCTTATTTGGGCTGAAACTTCTGTACCCACATCTGACAAATCTTTTCTCAGTTCCTCAGCAGTCACACGGGGACTTCTCTCCACTCTACGCTTCAGGTAGCGCACAGCAGTCGAAGTCAGCATCTTCTTTCTGCCACGACCCAGGTAGCGTTTCAACAGTGCCCTTTGCCTTGAATTTGCGAATGATGCTTCCTAAGGTGTCTCTTGGTATGTTTAACATCTTTGCAATCTTCTTATAGCCATTGCCCTTCCTGTGAAGAGAAATCACCTCTTCTCTTGTCTTCCTGGACCATTCTCTTGCCTTCACCATGTTTGTAACCACACCAGTAAATGTCTAGAAGGAGCTGAGTATCACAGTCATTTTTAAAGCTGCCTAATTGGTGCTTATTATGCTTGATTGCTGCTCGGTGACATCCACAGGTGTTTTCAATACTGATGGAAAGCACCTGTATGAACCTCTGTTCTTCAGAGCACAACTGTATATGTAAATTGTTGACCACTATAAATGTCTGGATGTAATGTAAACCTGAGGCCTATTACTTGTAAGGTGGAACCATGTCCATAAAACATGTATTTTAAGTTGGCTCTCTGCATGGTTGCTGTATCTTTAGTATCCCAAACTAAGGTGCTCTGTTATGTAAATATCAACCACAAATTTGTTAATATATGGGCTACCTCTTCCTGTCATTATCCCCTTCACCTTTTTATTGGTGAATGAGGCTGCCTGTCACATTTGATGGGAAGCAAGATGATGAAAAATGTGGACAGAGGTAAGATGGCTCTGGATAATGAGAGCTAATATTGATGTATGCATATAAAGGCTCCAGTATTTTGCCAAAATAATTTTTGGATACCAAGTTGTTCTGAAGCATAACCAAATGCCCGGAGGGACTGTCTCTATGGATCTGAGGCCCAATTAAAAGTTGAAGTGAATGCACAAATTCACTTTAAATAGCAAAAATAATAAAAAAACAAGGATGCATGGGAGCAAAAACAAAACAATCTGTTTACAATTTAAGTATTTACATATTCTGGACAAGTAGTAAAAACACTTTAAAAGAAACCCTCTGTATCTACAAGTATTGTGGAGAAATCCATTGTCAAAATGTACAGCAGAGGCACTTAAACATCCTTTCGCCTTTATTTTCTAAGGAGAGCAGATTCTTTGCAGCCAACCAGTCTTTGCAGCCAACCAGTTAAGCTTCTGGAAACCAACTAAAACCTGACTTAGGAGTCTTTGTTGTGATCTGTGAGGATATTCGAGAACAAATTAATTTACAGTACATGCAACCAGAGAGGTAAGGGAATGACTAGTTTTAAAGCTATTACTGCTTATTAAGAATATGTACATAAATACTTTAATGTCCAATTTCTGGAAGCTGGAAGCCTGATAGAGAAAGCCAGTATTACAGTGGGATTGTAAAAGAAACCTGGCAAATAATTAGGGCTGTTCCTTCAGTTGCAATCGTTAATAAGCCCAGTGGAGCAGTATTATTATTGTTTTGGCACCACTTTTAGTTCAGTGAAATAACTACACAAATATTCTGTGATTGGTACTGTAAAACATATAGTTTTATTAAAGCAGAACTTACTGTTATGAGCCCAAAAGGGCTCATATCAGCTTGCAGATAAGTTCTAACACAAGAGCTCTACTGGTAAATGCCAGAATTATCAGGATTCCATTAAATATCCGCTTACATTGTTGGTTTTAGCTTTTACTGTATCAGGTGCAATCTGAAATGGTGGGTATACATTGAAGCTATATGTTTCTGTGATAAATAAGATTGAGGTCTCCTAGCATGGAAAAAACAAAGCAAGACAATACAGTATATTCAGTGAGCCTTTAAGGGGATTGGGGCTATACTGAAACCATTTCTGGCTCCCCAGACCAGATTTAGAGGTAAAAGTCTGGCTTGGCACTCTTATATTAGGAATACATTCCAAGCCCTTGTAATAGAGCACTGTTAAAAAATTTGAAGCTAGTAGGAGCCTGTGCTGTGATGGGACAAATAACACAAATGAAATAAACTACTGGACGGTATGGACAGTGTGTTAAAATAAATAGGAAGAGAAGAATAAAGAGAGTATGAGAACTCGAAAAAGAAAAAAATGAAATTTGGATTTGTGGATGAGTGACTGCCATTTACAGTGTAAACTGTGACAACGTATACCTGTACTTGATTGTGCTGTATGGTTAACAATCCTGCAAGAAAATCTTTATAGTGAAAAAACAAGTTGTATAAAGGAATTGTATAAAAGAGAGTTCCACTGTGCCCCAGTATTAAGTTCATTTGTGTCTGCAGCAGGAAGGTGATGAGAAAAGTGATCCTATTCATTTGTTCCCCTTTACAAGTGGGTTTGCTAAAGACAGTCATGCCCCATATCTGATCTAAAGAGTTTTCATCCAGGTCTACTGAATTCTTTAATCAGACTTAAACTGATACTTCAATGGTACAATTTAATGACAGCGCTATTAAAAATGTTTTTTATTCCAGTAACAAATGACCATATCGGTATAATTGTGTCAGATATTTACACTACATTGGATCTTTTGATCTATTATAGCTTAGTTTAGCTAGGTTTTACAAATGTACTTTATACATTAATATCCCCTAAAAACTAAATTTAGATTTGGGTCCTGATTATGAGCAATGTAGAAGATTTCACTAGTGGTTTCAATGCAGAAAGACAGGCAAATCCTGTCCAAATGAGAAAAAAGTTATTAAGCTGCAAAATGCTCCAGGCAATGTGTCATTAAGAGTTGCTCATCCTATATGCAAGTATAGCTGTTTCGTGAAGGACACTTTTATAAGAGCTAGAAATTCCATCTCCCACTATTTAAAAGAAAAACTAAATTAATATAATTATATTATATTGTGTGTTTAATAATGTGTGTTACATTGGAAGTTTAATCATTTGTACCTGTTGCACTTCATTAGCAGTGTACTGTATTGTTTCATTATGTTGTTCCTCCAGCATCTGCATGTTTAACTCTTCCAAGAATTCATTCCTTTCATCATCAAGCCACCCTTCATCCAGCTGTAAAGAATACATTAGTACATCACATTAGTACTAACACATGGTAATGTGGCGTAGGCACTAATAGAAATGCCTGACCACTTCCTTTCATCATAATGACTCTTTTGAAACACTCTGCTTTGCACCAAAATAAGATTGGTAACATATTCATTTCCACTGCCTTTCATCCCTCACATAAACAATAAGACTCAATTGTTGATAATGTTGGGATCCCATAACACATTGAAAGATATTAAAGTATCAATAAACAGTAGTAAATGTGTAACTGCTCTGTGATCCTGCTAGTGTCAGCTCTACTGCAGGGTAGAAAGCGGTTAGCGACAATAACACTCATATTCTGTATTCATTTTAATCTTAACATCAAAGCTAAATGTGCTGAAAAATGCTGAAATTACTTCAACTCTAATGCCAGTAAAACAAATTTGGCCTGGAATCAGTGCGTTGTTCTGTTTCTCCCTGGACATCACAAAAAGCTTGCAAAAAAACCTCAGAGCTGAAAATATTGTAGACCTACATGGCAGTCTTGGGCATAGAGAAATATATGGTTAAGCATGTCACAGTCCATTCACACATATATACGAGAGCACTGACATATTCCCATACACTGACATCCAGAGGACTAAATCATCAGAGGTTGAGGAGAGGTATGCCATTTTGGCTTATACACCCTCATGATCCATTACATTGCTCGCTGTCTCCAACGCCAACCTCTGTCTCTGGTCCAGAAGCTTCAACACGAACCTCTGTGGACAGTCTGCTGTTGAGTACCATGTTTGATTCCTTTTCCATTGTGCAACTGTTTTTGAACCTGCCCTATGTATTTCCAGTAGATGTGTTTAGATGGACTCTCAGTCCTCCTGCTAGTTCTTAGCCAGAAGTGCACTGGAGAAATCTAAGAAGATCATGTCTGGGAAAGCTATTTAAACCTACTCCGTGTACTTGGGTGTTGCCTGCGCGAAGACCTCTCCGAGTATTTGTTTTAAGGCTCCTGTACTGGTGATCTGTTACATTTCGAATACTTGTTTATGATCTCTGCATGTTTCTTGACAATCCTTGTTACCTGCCTGCCCTCACCTTCCGCCCCTTTTCCTGACAATCTTTATTATCCACTACCCTGACCCATTGCCTGTTTGACCTTGACCTAGCCTGTAGACCTAGCATGTGTATTTCCCCCTGATGTCAGCTGTTGTCTTTCCAATCATAAATTTAGGATGCAACCTGGGACTTGTCAACTGCAAAGCCCCTCATCCTTCATTCTAAGGTTCTTTATATCCCTTGGCCCGCTTTAGGGTCTAAATTTGCCTGGAAACACAGAGGGTCCACTACCTCTGTGACACTCTAAGGTAATTTCATGAAACGTAGCAAATTTCATGAAATGTAGTCATGAAACATAGCAAAGGTAATTTTAAAAATATTTTAGGAATGAATTGGTGCAGCTACTTAATGCTCTGACTCTGAGATGAAGCATTGATAACCAGCTCCGCGTAGAATCTGCAAACTGCTGCCATGAAAAGCCATTGTTTGTCAGATCCCTTTCTGAATTCAAATTGAACCAATTACCATTCTTATGGTGTTAAGGAACTTTAAATTTCTCTCTCCAAAGCAGAAACTTTATAGCTAACTTCAGAGAGATTCCAGGAAATTAGACAATTTACCTACAGTGCCTAATGATGCTCTCTTCAGACTTATCCCAGATCCCTACCATTGTTGCATGCGTTGCTAAACACAGTTCTGGTTTTGGAAATAAACTGAGCATAGGTTTCTTAATGTATACAGGAAATTTACACATCCAAATGAAAAGATTAATTGGTCCAATCAAATTGACATTCGGAATCCAAACAATATGCAAAAAACATATCTGCACACTAAACATGCGGAACTGCCTACATGTCCCTTATTTAACAACTAGACATGAAAAAATTATTCTGTTAGTAAATATCAGTATCTAGTTGTAGTATATGACATAATTATCAATATATGACTTGTATATAGTTTAACAAAGTAATGAAATGAAACATTATTGTTTATCACGTGATCTGTCTATATTTACTGGTTGCACTGAGATTTATTTTAACGGTATTGATTATTTTATTGACATAAAAGCATTCTGCTCATCAAATGCAAGTATTTCAAGATATATTGTGACCAGAATACAAGTATTTACAATTAGGGATGACTAAATCAGGAGAACTGCTGATCCATCACTTTTTGGTCCTGCTGAATATCTGCATGTGGATATGTCTGATCTGCAGAGGATCACACAATATAGCAGACCTGGCTTATGACTTATAATGACTTATGAGTTGTAAGATTTTTGTAGGCTTAACAAATGTGCATGCCTATGTTCAGGAGAATCACAAAAGATGTGAAACATTGTTTCACTCAAATTTAAATTTAAAGTGTTTGAAAACGTTAGTTTAAAAAAACAAAAAACAAACATGGCATACTTACCTGCTCTGTGCAATGGTTTTGCAGAGCAGCGCCATTCCTCCTCTTCTCGGGTCTCCCGCCAAGTGCCCCCACAACAAGCCGCTTGCTATGCAGGCATTCATGCATGCTCGATCTTGAGCCTCGCTTTGTGTGTCCTTTAAACACAGAGAGCATGGCTCAGCTCCACCTACCGCTCCCTCCCCATTGGCTGTAATTGACAGTAGTAAGAGCCAATGGTCGTGTCTGAGCTAATGAGGAAAAGAGCCCCTGCTCTCATACACATCGCTGGATTGAGATTGGGCTCAGGTATGTATAAAGGGGGGCGAAGGGTGGCACATACTGAATGGTTTTGCAGAAAACCGCCATTCCTCCTCTTCACAGGTCCCCTGCCAAGGGCCCCCACAGCAAGCCGCTTGCTATGAGGGCATTTGTGCATGCTCGCTCTCGAGCCTCGCTCTGTGTGTCCTTTAGACACAGACAGCATGGCTCGGCTCCACCTACCGCTCCCTCCCCATTGGCTGTGATTGACAGCAGTAAAAGCCAATAGTTGTGTCTGAGCTAATGAAGAGGGAGAGAGGCCCTGCTCTCGTACACATCGCTGGATTGAAATCGGGCTCAGGTATGTATAAGGGGGGCTGAACGGGGCCACATACTGAAGGTTTTTTTTTACCATGATGCTGATAATGCATTAAGGTACCACTTTAATGCTCACTCTTTACAATAATCATGTGCATTAGGGAAGATCCTTATTTATCATCATAATGACTTGTGTTTTATAAGACATTCTTGTTTGTGTTAGGTTTTGCTACAGTATTTTTTTTAAATACAGAATACACAGTCATCTTCATATGGTGGATGGAATTTAAAAAAAAGGCCATAGGGAAATGTGAAGATGTAGTGATACACAATGAAATTGCTTCCCACTAAAATGTTTGTTGTTTAGCTTAACAAATAAAAGCTGGAATGGTTGCTATAGTCTGTTTACTTTACTCTGCTGTGTATGATTCATACTAGATGGCTATGCAGATACTATAGCTTATTCTTATTAGGGAAGAATGTTTCTTACAGTAGCAGAGGGATAATTTCATGTTCTATATATATATTACACTATTGAGTGTTTTTCTTATTATTTTTGCACACAGTTTATGCCTGTTATCCATGTGATCAGGATCACTCTGGGTTGTTGGTAAAGTAAAGGGCAAGCTTTTACTGTAGATCACACATTTTCAGCCTTAGTAGATCAGACACATCCAGTTCTCAGATGTCAGAGAACTCTTTTTCATTTGTGTCCTAACTTATGTCTTTTATATTAAGTGCAGAACATCTTTTTACTACAGTGCTTTTTTCTGGACAAGCCATTAAAATGATCTAATATGTGGTCGCTAGTAGCACAACTATTAGTGCTAACAATGAAAATCAGAACCATAAAAAAAACATAAGTAAAACATCAACTGGACAAAGAGCGGACCACAAAATACATAATACCTTTTTCAAGAATTTCAGAGCTTTCCCTTTTTTATTTAGTCATGAATCTCTACTAACCGGTATGTCCGGCCTTGCTACCAGAAGGACAATTTTCCTACATTCGTCATTGGAAAGTAAAATCACAGCCTCCTCTCTGTTCTGGATATCCTGGCCATTAATCTGCAAAAACAAATGAAACTTGTAAATGAGGTGCTATTTTCACAAAGTAGCATGCAATCAAAAAGAAAATATCTGTTCATTTGTGCCAAACATATGGACAGCAGGAATCAAACAGTGGGTTCATTGTCAGACTTTGGTGGTAAATACCTGCACTCAATTATGCGCTTACCATACGAACGGTATTGATCGGTGAAGGATGGCAAACATCAGAGGAAGCAGTTATGTTCATAAATGTCCAAGCTGCGCCCCAGTAACATACATCTAGCAACACAATTAACCAGCCTCTGACAGGTGACGTTCATCTTTCTCCGTTCAGAGTAATGGAAGTGTCACTCTGAGATAATAGTGCTGGTGGAAGGAAGGATGGCAGTGCTACAGCTAAAATCAGTCATACTGCAGGCTTGCGCAAAGCCAATTAGAAAGCTACACTATTATCTCTCACGGGGCAGTGCTTAAAAGACAATGTTGATTGTAATTCAGATTTATCATTGGAAAATCCTGTAATACCACTCCAGTGCAGAGCAAACCAGAAATGATAAATAGACAATTAATTTTATAAAAATTATATATATTTTTTTTCTATGTATTTAATTTAGGTTATAGCAGTGCAACATATAACTAGGTACATACATAACGTAGAAATAATTGGATGGCTGTGTTGTCAGCTCTGCCTGTTGTGCAGAAATATACAAAATGAATGCCACTCATTAAAGAGCTTCATTATTTTAATATATTTCATATAAAATAAATTTAGTAACCACAGAAATATTCATTCTTCCTAAAGAGATGGCTGGGTTTCCTTATATACATATGGTGCATGACCTCGAACATCTGTACCATGATGCATGACCAAAGAGGCGTTAGATCAAGTACATATGTGATGAAATAGCAGGGCTCTGCATCACAAAGAAAGAGACCCAATTATAATAATGAACATCCCAGGAGTTTAGGTAAAAAATGATCTCTGTAGGAAAATAAAAAGCTCTACAAGCAAAGGTTTACATAATTACAACTAATTTTGTGTAGGGACAATTCATTTTGAAAGCTCTTCTGCCATGCAGGCATTCTGCTTACCCACAGATTTAAATATGATTTGGTGTCATTGTAATTCATCTGTCAATACTCTAAAGTGATGTATTTGTAACTTGTAATGAACACAAACTATGAAAATACAGTAGATTATTATTAGATGTAATACATACAAAAATATGGTCAAACTTCATATAAAGTCCTAGATCAGACAGCTAGCTAAAATCTGGTAAAATCTTAAATTTAATCTGTACTTTGCACATTCAAGACACTAGTAACAAGTTCACTTAATAATGTATAACCCATCCCTCAATGTTATGCTGTCATCCAATCAATGTCCAAAGCCCGCCATCTCAATTTTCTCAACATCTCCAAAATACGGCCCTTCCTAACCAATGACACCATAAAAAAGCTCCTAGTCCACTCCCTGGTCATCTCTCGCCATGACTACTGCAACTCACCCCTCATTGGCTTACCTTTACATAGACTATCCTCCCTTCAGTCCATCATAATTTCTGCTGCTAGACTCATCCACCTTACCAACCACTCAGTTGTCTGCTACCGGTACCACTCTCTGCCAATTCCTCCATTGCTCTCACATTTTGAATGACAATTGCGCGGTCAAACAACACTGTACCCAAACTAAAATTTATATCATTTTCTTCACACAACTAGAGCTTTCTTCTGGTGGTATTTAAGCAACACTGGGGTTTTTATTTTTTGCTAAATTAACAAAAAAAGACCGAAAATTATAGAAAAAACCCACATTATTCTTTGTTTCTGTTATAAAAGTTTGCAAATAATTGTTCTTCATAAATTTAGGCCAAGATGTGTTCTACTACATGTCTTTGGTGAAAATAACCCAAATTAGGATGTATTATTTAGTTTGTAGGAAAGTTATAGAGTTCACAAACTATGGTATAGATCTGAATATTGATCAATCCTGAAGTACTGACGGCCAATCTAATTTCTTGAGGTCCAAGAATGTCAGAACAATACAGATATCCCCCAAATGACCCCTTTTTGCAAAGTAGACAGTCCGACGTATTTCATAAGAGGAATGGCGAGTTTTTTGAAGTTGTAATTTTTTTGTCATCATTTTTCGGAAAATGAAAAATTACTTTATTTATTTCAGGTACTTATGTAGTGCTGCCAATTTTGTGCAGTGCTTTACAGATATATATATATATTGAATATTCACATTAGTCCCTAACCCTCAAGGGGTGTACAATCTAAGGTCCCTAACTCACATTCATACATACACATATTAGGGCCAATTTAGACAGGATCCAATTAACCTACCAGCATGTCTTTGGAGTGTGGGAGGAAACCCACACAAGCACAGGGAGAACATGCAAATTCCACGCAGGAGGCGTGATGGTCGGGAATCAAACCCATGACCCATTTACTGCAAGGCAGACGTGCTAACCACTAAGCCACTGTACTGGCCCAACTTCACTATATTTTCTTTCTACTATAGTAACATTGTACTACTTTGGGGAAGTGATCAGTATTTTGTTTTTGTTTTTTTTACACAATTTGCTTATAGCAAAGAATTACTTTGCTATAAGCAAGCATTTGCCTGAATGACATCAATTCACTCAGGGTTTTTTTTTTTTTTTTTTGTGATTGGCTGTGATTTGGCCAAAGCTAATCACATGACACAGCTGGGCTGTGATTAGCCCAGTTTGTGCATGTGATCGCTGTGACCATTCACAGCTAGACACACTAGTATACAATAGATGGCATGAAAGGAAGCCATCCATTGTATACAACTGTCATCTGACCTGCTGTGATTGGTCACAGCAGGTCACATGGTACTGGAAACGGGGCCAGTACACAGATCTGTCATTGGCCGTGTCCGAGGTACATGGCTGGTGACAGATCGCACCGCAGAGCGGCCCTGCGGGCAGGCAAACTGTGCATGCCTGAAAGGACGCTGCTCGCCCGGCCGCCTTTGTGCTTATGGCCGGGCGGGAACTGGTTAAAAAAAAAAAAAGATATTTAAATGAAAAAGGGAAAAGGCTTATTTACAAGGCTTGTGTTGTGTTACACTAAAAATAAATTAACCCATCCCTCAATGTTATACTGTCATCCAATCAATGTCCAAAGCCCGCCACCTCAACTTCAACATCTCCAAAATACGCCTAATCCTAACCAATGAAAACACAAAAAAGCTCATAGTTCACTCCCTGGTCATCACTCAACCCGCTCCTCATTGGCTTAGCTTTACATAGACTATCCTCCCTTCAGTCCATCATAAATTCTGCTGCTAGACTCATCCACCTTACTAACCGCTCAGTGTCTGCTACCGGTACCACTCTCTGCCAATTCCTCCATTGGTCGCCACTCACACAAAATAAATTCAAAATACTAACAACAACTTACAAAGCCATCCATAACTCTGCCCCCAGCTATATCACTAACCCAGTCTAAAAATACTAAAGTAATCATTCCCTTCATTCCTCTGAAGACCTCCTGCTCTCTGGCTCCCTTGTTACCTCCTGCCATGCTCACCTCCAGGACTTCTCCTGAGCCAATCCAATCCTCTGGAACTCACTACCCCAATCTATCCGACTATCTCCTACTCTGAAGAGAAGGGTTTTCAGGGATCATCTAAAAGTGGACAGAGAGGCCTACCCTGCCCCCAGCTAACAACTGTACTTTTATTTTCCAAAAAACAGAAGAAATGAAGAAAACAAGAAACTGAAGAAATGTAAAACAATGTTTAACACCAGTGAATATGATATACTTTCCTATAGTTTATGCTAGTAGCATAAGGATTAAAAACAGTCAATGTTGATTGAGAGAGTTTAGTCCCTCTTAAATAAAAAAACTAAAAAGGGAAAAAGTTTATTTACAAGGCTGGTGTTGTGTTACACTAAAAATAAAAGTGTTTTTAAGATGGGTGCTCTAGATAATCCCCTGTGTGGTAAATGCCGCAGAGATCACGGTGATTTACTCCACCTAGATCAGGGCAGGTACGACCTTAAACGGACAAAATGAAAATAAGTAACATTGAAAAATAGAAAAAAAGTAAAAAAAAAAAAAATGAAATCTTTAAATAATGTTTAACTAAAATAAAAAGAACGCATACAAAAAACTTGATTGTAGGTGGGGAAATGTTAATGTGGGGCTGCCTTGACAATAAACTAGAGGAGAGAGCTGTTTTCACCATCTGGTATGATAGCAGTTAAATTGTGTAGCTGGCATACAGGTGCTGTGCATGTGGGGGATTTGGGGACATTTTTTTTTCTTCTGCTCCAGAAAAAAAAAACTTGCATGGGAAGGTTGCTACTGGAGACAATAAGGCGGTTGCTGACAAATGCTGCTTTAGGCTCCATGCACACTGGACATTTTGATAACGCTGGTAACGTTAGCTGTGTAAAGTCACGTAAAAACGTTTGTGTTTTTTAGCAGTTCTTTTTACCCCAAAACAATGTTTTTTCAGGTCAAAAAAAGTCCAAAATGCCGGTTTGCGGCATTGTACCACGTTTTTCATCGTTAGAGCGTTTTTACAGCTAAAAAAAACTCCTCTAGAAACTCACAAGTCCTGGGGGTTTTTTTTCAGCCAAAAAAAATCCCTGCCAAAAAAAGTTGATTACAGTCTATGTGTGCATGGACATGCTGGGGGGTTTACTAGCTGTAGAAAAAAAAAAGTCAAAAGCCAAAAACAGCAGCTGTAAAAACGTCCAGTGTGCATGAGGACTAAAAGTTAGCAAAAAATAACACTTTAGGAAAAAAATGTGCATTTATTATTTTTTTCGTAGATGAGGCTGCAAAGCATTGCACCTGCAATCGGTGGATTGCAATGTCAGGCTCCTGCACACTCTTCCCTCCAGTTTCTGCCCACACCTCTGTACACATTTTCAGTTAGAAAGCTGCAGGAAGAATATATGGACTATAAGCATACTGATCAGAGCATGCATAGTCCATTGAGTAAAACAAGTCCATCTGTTGTGGCGGATGGG